TGGGCGATTGATTGCAGCCTTCTTCTACCTATCCACTCGACATGGTCGAGTTTTTCTTCCACCCCGGGAGAGTTGATGCGGGCATCATTGAGATTTATTTTATTGGTATTGGTCTTTATTATTTGTGTTTCGTATTATTGGACTTGTTTTAGCGGGTTGGCCCAAGCCCTAAAAATTAGGTTATTTTCTGCTATTTATTAGATTCTCATTATCGTTGACTTCAGTGGGATGATTAATTAATAGTGAAATTGGCTTAGCCACGTTTTCTCCTCCTCTCTTTCTTCTTGGCTTCTTCTCTTCTCCTTCTTCTTGCTTTTCTCTCTTTGATTCTGCATCAAATAATTTTAGAAACAAAACATATATAGCCCCCGTTTGATACACATTTTGAAGGTAAAAATGCATTTTTTTTTGTTCATATGATGGAGAATATGTGGTTGATAAAGAAGGAAAAATTATTGATATGATAAAAAATATTATTTTATTGAAAAATGTGTGGTTGAAAATGAGTAGAAAAATGAGAATGAAAAAAATAATGTGGACCAAAAAGGACCATAGAAAATAACGTCAAAATAATTATTTTTAACAATCTTACAACTTATTGATAAATCCAACAAAATTTAAACAATTATTTGACTATATTTTCATAGCCTTTGGCTCGAGTCCTCCTTGGCTCATGTTTATAAACCGATTATAAATATTTAGGCTATTTTTTATTCATCTCGAGGGACTGTAAGTACGACTCATTTGTCAATCAATCAATCACTAATTTATATTTATTTTTAATTTAAATCGTTTATAAATACTTTCCAAACTTACTTTTAATTTTTTGAACCTTCGTCGCGTGATCACCTAACTATATAAAATACTTTTTTCTTATCTATTTTCCACCATCTGCTTTACTTGACTCATGACCGATGACGCATCTATTAGGATTTCCACTATAATGCAATTGGTAGCTGACATGTGGACATATTACACCGACCAAACATATGAATGGACAAAGTGTCGATATCACTCAATAATATATAAAACTACATGACAACACTTATTTTCTTCTTTAGTTCAACGTATTAAACCATGCATTTTGATTCACATGTGAAATTTTGTAAATTTTAGTAACAAACAACACTTAAAAGTATTATTTCTGGTTGACCTAAATATAGAAGCCACTATCCACCAATGCACACACTTTTGTCCTCGACGACTTAAACTTAGAGATGAAGTAAATAAAGTTCGAGACTCGAGCATATGTTTCCATCTTACACGAAAACTTAAATGGAACTTTTCAAATCATGTGCGAGAATTACACGAAAAGGACCGCAATCATTCGTAATAAATGAATTTGAGTTTAGTCATAATAATTATGGCCCTTCTGGTAGTTTTTGAAGAGTCAAAATCTATTTCTCGACTAGGAATATTGTTTGATTAAAAGAATTTTTAGAAAAAATTTGACATAAAATAATCTCCTTAGAAAACCTTCTTACAAAAAACGTAAACTATAAGAGAGCCTTCCCAAACGAACCCTTACCCTTCTTTCAAGTTGCTCATGTGACCTACACAAATTCGAAATTTCCTCGAAAGAGCAATTTCAATGCAAATCGTCTAAGTGTGAGCCACACAATTAAAATAAAACCTATTAATCACTTTAGATTCCCATAAAAAAAAAAAAAAAAAAAAAAACAGCCAACCATCAAAATGTGTCCACACCTACTTTTTCCACATTCAGCCGTCGTCGACGTAGGAATGAAGTAAGAAGCCTGTCTACACATATATGGCCCCTCTCTGATCCTAATTTTTGGGGGAAAACGTATTTTAAAACAGTGATTTTTTGAAGAATATATGATTAAAAAATAAGAATTTTTTTAGATTTACGTGTAAAATAATTTAATGGGATAATGTGATTAAAATGAGTTTTGAAAAAAATGAAGCTTTCGCTAATGGACACCAACACATCACATCGCAAATATCAAGTAGACTGATCTCTGGACCATACAAACTTTAGTTATTATGATCTTCTTCCCTGAATTATTATAAATTTTCAAGGTAGACAGATACTAGTGATAGACACACGTATAGAAATAGATAAAAAGAATCTTACGCGGATACGAGACGACATGGACACACGCATGAAGACGGACACCCTCATTTCTCATTACCTTCCTGAGAATTTCTTTGTACTTATGTATATTACATCCCCTTAAATCTTCTCAACAACCCACTATAGCTCTTGATCAAGAATATTTATTACCCTCCAGATCGTTTTCGCAATCTTGGATAGGATTTTAAGGATATGGGTTTGAGTAGTACAGAAGTTTCTGGTTATTTGCTACAGCCTGGAGAGGTGGAGCCACCAGAACCGCCGTCTATGAGGTGGCATAAACAGCTGCGGCAGCAGCAACAATCAATGGCTCCCATAAAGTGCCCGAGGTGTGACTCAACAAAAACGAAGTTCTGTTACTATAACAATTATAACAAATCTCAACCTCGCCATTTCTGTAAAGCTTGTAAGCGGCACTGGACCAAAGGTGGCACTCTTCGCAATGTTCCTGTTGGCGGCGGGCATAAAAACAAGCGGCTCAAGACAACAAATGCCACCACCTCCACTGGCACCACTCCAACCACCACCAGCGCTGCCACCTCTAACAGCATGCTTGAGAAGTCTATGATGGGGACATTTACTACAGGTTCTAATATACCAGGGCCTCTGATTCAGGATACAGAATATATATTTCCAAGTTTAAGCAGTTTTGACTGCAATTCTTCTTTGATTAATCCATCCTTCTATGATCAATCCTTGAGCGGGTATGACTACGCCGAGAATACTTATACTCTGGGGGAATCAACCATTACTACAGTCATTCCAACCATGAACATGGCTTGGTCAGGTGGGCCAGGTCCAAACACAAGCACCGCATTTGACATTCCAAACTACTGGAATTGGAAGGAGACTGATGTGTTAACTTCAACTCGTGATCTAAATATAGACTGGTATGATCCAGAGATCGATCCCTAATGGCATGTTCGGTGAGTTGGACGGTACAATATTGAATTGTATTTAAAAATGAGAAGCTAATATCTTGATTATTGCATGATCTATCTTATTTAGAAGTGTGTGTTTGGTACTTACAACTAAAAATTACGATAGACAAAAATTTGTCTTCATTTTCATCTTTAATACTGTCTAGTATTGAGTAAAAAATAAAAGTTATAGTGTTATTTACTGTAAAATTGAGTCTTATTTAATAGTGCAAACCAACCTTAAGAATATGCCGTTACGTATTGGAATGTAGTACTTCATTATACAATAAACAAAAAATTAGCTTATTTTTTCAATACTGTACCTGTAAGTAGAGTCATGAGAGTTCTTTCCTAGTGTAAATGTAAGGTTACGCTGTTAGAATAATTCTATAATGTGGGCTTCCATTTGATTGAGAATTTTGCAGGTTAGATGTATGTCTCGCAATTATACTATGATTAGACTCAATATGTTAGTGATCATTTGAACCGTTATCCAACTTACGGGCTATATTCTTATAATGTTGTAATTTTAAGTATGTGGGCCGGAAATATGTGAACCTCCTAATTAGGGTTAAAGTCGTTAATGAGACGGCTTTATAGTTTCCTATATAAAGGTTTGATACTCTCTCATATCCATATCGTTATTATTGACTTGCTCCATTGATGGCTAATAATTTTTTAGGAGCAAGGAGATGAAGATCTAGTTGGTAATATTTATACACAAAAATGTCTTGCGCATGTATAAATTTCAACCTATCAATTTAGAATGTGTGATTCTTCTTCTTACCATAATTATTGTCAAATTAGAACAATTGGTATCAGAGCATCATGTTAAGATTAGAATCCTTTAAACAAAACAAAAATTAATTAATTTCTCACAGACAAAATCAGCTCCATCGTCTGTCTGTCGTGTATGTGTATAGAAATCTAGATGTATATATGTTTGTATGTATATATGTTCTACAAAATCAGCTACACGTATGTTTGTGTAATAGCATCTGGATTTGCCTTGATTTGGTTTGTATATGTGTATGCAAATCGCTCGTACCTGCGCCGCTGATCGTGCGCTTACCGTTGTCAATAGCAGCGGCAAGCGCTGCTACTCATTGGGGCAGCACCGGGCGCTAGTGTGACGTTGCTGCAAATGCAGCTAACAGCTGTGGTGTTCCGCAGCTGTGGGTTGTCGGTCACCATCTCCGTAACGACGGAGATGGTGTCGGACCAGCAGCGGCACTGCAAGGAGGAAAGCCTAAGGTTTTTTCCAAAACGGGTTCAGTTGATTTTTGGACGAGGGCTTCTTCTGCAATTTCTGATTTTTTGGGGGCCTGTTTGCAATTAAAGCAAAAGGGGGCATTTTGTAATTTTTTTAAAAAGTAGGACCTATGCTATAATTTCTGAATTTTGAGGCTCCTTTTCATAATTTTAAATTCATGGTCAATTTTTACAATTTTGAAATATTGAATTTGAATTTTTTAAAATGAGATTTTTAAATTTTATCTACATATATTTCAATTTCGTCATAAAGTTAAAATTATACTTAAAATTAACAATTATATATTTTTTGTTGAAATATTTAAATGTCGTTATTATTTGTCCATTTAAATTTCATTTTCATATATTGAAATTTAGTTGTCAATTTCGTCTTACAATCGCGCATGATTTTTACTTTTCGTCGATTGATGATTGTGATTATTATTATCATTATTATTATTTTTATAACCGTGGATGTTCTGGCCAGCTTGCGCGCACCTCGACTAATTCCACGGGGCCTTGAAATTTACGGACGGGTACTCACCTCAGTGGCCCTGAAGAGACTCGAACGGTGACCATTGGGGGAGCAAACTCAAGACCTGACCAATTGAGCCACCCCTCAGGATTTATTATTATTATTATTATTATTGAATTTTTTGTAGGTTTCAAGTCTGTCTTAGTGCTCTCATTAAGAGAAATATTTTGAAATAAAATTGAGTGGTAGCTACCAAAGTGGCACACTTATTGTTATTTATTCAGTTTTCTTTTAAAAAATGGACTTTACCATCCTTTTTTAAATTATTGCATATAGTATCTTACCCAAATGTGTTATTATATGTGATATTTTGGAAATTGGCATAAAGAAGTTAATGAGTTTATTTGGTCTAGAAATCTTCTTATACCCAAAAGTGTTGGTGTTTCGAAAATCAATCTATTTTGTTAACTAATTTCATTATATATTTTAAGAGTACTTTACAGCATATTATATTGTCAGACCAAAGACGACTTTATAATAATGTATCTTGGCTCTTATCGTAATAATATTCATTGGTTTTGACTTTAATTACAGACCATCTAATTAGTAGTCCACGTTAATTAGATGAATATGTTATCATCCATTGTCCACATGCATTATGTTTGGATGATATTAAATATTTTATTTTATGTTTTCACAGTTTTAAATATCTCGGCTCTTTCGAGTCAATTGTCTACTATTGAAACATTGATATAGAATAATTATGTGAGATGGAAATGAGTTGTAGAAATAGTACTTGATCTTTTGGGGTTGGATTTTACAATGGAGAAACAGCTTTCGAAACCCAACGATAAAAGGATTCCTGAATATGTGGCTGAGTATGAAAAGAGGAAATGGGTTAACAGACTTTGTTTGAAGATTATTAAGCGCTCCATATCCGATTCCATTATGGATGCTATTCTAGATAATGAAAGTGCTAAGGATTTTGTGGATGCCATATGAGTGAGATTTGTTGAGTCTGATAAAGTTAAAATTGGAGACCTGATGGACAAACTGATGAATATGAAATATGATAGTACAAGTGAAGTTACGGAGCATGTTATGAACATGATAAATATATTTTCTAAAATAAAAGCTCTTAAGATTCCCATTGCCGAGCCTTTTCTAGTCTATCATGTTCTGAACAGCCTTCCAAGCCAATCTTATCGACTAAAATTTGCTTATAATGTTCAAAGAGATAAATTGGATTTGAATGACCTTATTACTGTATGTGCCTAGAGGAGTATAGGATGCAGCGTGAAATTTTTGAAACTGTGCAATTAACATTTTAGCCACCACAGAACAAGGGGTCTTCTCATAACCATAAGTTTAAGTTCCACAAGGACAACAAGTTACACTGCAATCGGCATAATAAAAATTTTGGAGGTTAGACTTCTGGTGGTCCCAAAGGAACTATAAAGAAAAATGATCGATGCAAGTTCTGCAAAAAGAAGGGTCGCTGACAGAAAAATTGTTTCAATTTTAAGATTTGGTTGGAGAAGAAGAAGAGTTCCCCAGGTATCTCTTTGGCCTTAGTTTGTTTTGAGTCTTCTTTTATAGATATTCCTTTGAATTCTTTGTGGTTAGACTCGGGAGCCGGTATTCATATTGCGAATTCTTTGTAGGGATTCACAAGCAAACGGAGGTCAAGTGAGAATGAAGTAAGTCTGTGCATTGGAAATGGAGTTCAAGTGAAGGTTGGGTTCATAGAAGTAGTAAAGTTGTCTTTGAGTTTAGTTTCTCTCTTGTTTTAGATAATAGAGTTTTTGTACCGACAATGAGACGGAATTTAATTTCTATATCGAAACTTGATACTTCTGGTTTTTCCTATAATTTTGGTAATGGAATGGTTAAATTGTTTTATAATTCTCGTTTGATTGGAAATGGCCTTTTATGTGATGGTTTATATAAATTGTCTATGGTTTCTTTTAGTGAAGTCTCTTGTGTTTCCAATGTGTCAATGAAAAGGTTTCCAATTCATGAATCATCCTCCATGTGTGGCATAAACGATTTGGTCACATTTCAAATGATAGGATGGAGAGATTGGTTAAAGTTGAGATACTTCAATCTCTCGACTTCTCTGATTTTGACACTTGTGTGGATTGTATAAGGTGAAAGTTGACTAAATCCACTAGGAAAGAGTCTACTAGAAGTGATGGTATTTTAAACTTGATACATATTGATATTAGTGGACCTTTACCTTCCACCATATGTAGAAACAAATATTTTATAACTTTATTGACGTTTTTTCACTATATGGATAGGTTTACTTGATATATAATAAATTCCATGCACTAGAGAAATTCAAGATTTTCAAAATGGAAGTACAGAAACAATGTAGTAAAAGCATCAATGCTGTAAGATCTGATCGGGATGGTGAATACTATGGTAAGTACGATGAGTCTGGTCAAAACAATAGTGATTTTGTTTCTCACGATATGGATATGTTTATTTGAGAAATGAGAAATCGCAGGCACTTGAGAAATTCAAGATTTTCAAAATGGAGGTAGAGAAACAATGTGGGAAAAGTATCAAAGTTGTAAGATCTGACCATTGTGGTAAGTACTATGGGAAGTATGACAAGTCTGGTCAAAACATGGGCAATTTTGCCCAAGTTTTTTCATGGGTGTAGCATAGTACCTTAATACACCGTGCCGGGACACCTACGCAGAATGGCGTTTCTGAAAGATGTTGTCGGACTCTAAAAGACATGGTTATGAGCATTATGAGTAGAACAAATTTGCCAGAATATCTTTGGGGTGAAGCCTTAAAAACTGCTATGTATATTTTGAACAGAGTTCCATGTAAAGCTGCTGCTAAGATACCTTTCGAGTTGTGGACATGACGTAAGCCAAGTTTAGCACATTTCAGAGTTTGGGGATGTCGAGCTGATGTTAGAATTTATAATCCTTTTGATAAGAAATTAGATCCAAAATCCACTCCGATTTATTTTATTGGGTACCCAGACAGATCAAAAGAATATAAGTTCTATTGTCCCAACTGTGGCACCAGAATTGTTGAGTCAATCACTGCTAAATTTCTGGAAAAATGATTTTAGTGATAGTGGGAGTTCTACGTTAAAGGAATTTTTGATTGAACCGAGTCCAGTTATTGTCCCAGTTCCTGTTATACAAGAAAGAGTTATATCTCAATGATGAGTGTTCTACACTCATGATATTTATATCACTTAATTCGTTATTTTGTCATTCTTGAGAGAGTTTTAGAGTGTT